TGCACACGCGTCCCTACACATACGGCTGTCTAAACGCTAACTATCGTCCAGAGGAAGAGGATGAGAGGATGGTGTTGAAAAGAACGAAAGGATGACTATACGATCCTCGAGAGTTCGATCTTTGTTATTGAAGAATTTTTTGCAGATTTTTAGCTGTTCAATTGGAACAAGTAATTCGGATCGAACGATTCTGCTCTGTTTGCGAAAGCAGAGATTGCGAAACTTTTATTATACGAGAGATTGATTAAGAGAGATTGAGATTATCGTAGGATAATAACAGTTCGCTCTGATATCGCGCGATTTTTTTGAATTATTCCTCGATACGCGAATTTCTTTCAAAAGTTCAAAAGAGATCTAAAATCATGAATTCGCTGGAAAATTCTCCTCTTTGAACATTTAGAATTCACAAAAACAACCTGAAACACTTTGAAACACCTGAAGATCTAAGTTTTTGTAACAGATTGAAGACATTATTGAAGTATTATCTTTCACTGATGCAGATAGTAGCGTTTTTCTCGTAATTTTCGGAGAGAATCACGGAAATGCCGGTAATAAGAGCAAACTCGTCGCTCTACCATGTATATACGCGATACTCGACCGTGTATCGAGCCGCACTGGCAAGATTTTTAATAGTCGTCAAGCCGGAAACTCGTCCGGGATTAATGCGTCCCGGCGTAATGAGAAGCAGGCGGAAAATAACCGGGAAAACGTCCAACCCTTTCGCGTGTTTCACCGGCCAACTCTCTCTTCCTCTCTTGCTTTCTCTCTCTCTCTCTCTCTCTCTCTCTCTCCACGAGATGCAAGTCAAACGCGCGAGCCGTCCCTAGCCGAGATAGATTGCACAGTCACGTGCAATGCTAATCAGATCTCTGGTTGATAAGCAAATTGATAATCTGATCGATCGCTCGAAACTGTAGCTGAATAGCGAGCTGATTGAATGAATTCGGTCGAGCGACTGGAAAATTTATTAAGATCTCTCCGCGCTATTTTATAGTTTATCGTACGTATTAAATTGCTAAAATTTATTTTAGGCTTTTCATTCTATCACAGAATTGGCGACAGTGATAGAAATTCGTGATGAAATTCAATTGAATGGAAAATTTACTAGCGGAAGTAATCTTCGTAGCAAAGATCTTGTAGCTTTTCTCGAGGCGTAGTTTCGCATGAAAGTTTGAAGTATTAAAAATTCTAAAATTCTAAACTAGATCGTGTATGAAAATTTTTCGCAATTGCTAATAGGCTTTTTCTATGCATTTATAATTGGCAAAGCTAACATACGGAAATGTATAAAACATTTAAAACACAGCACGTGTTACAAAATTTAATAATACTTATCACTTGTACTCGAGAAGTGATTAACAATTGATTGCAAGATCGACCGATTAATAATCGATCGAGATAATTTCAAGATTGACTAATTGTAGATCACTTAACTATAAATTGCTAGGTTTGTTTTTCTTTTTTTCTTTTTTTTTAGATTTCTTCCTTTCAGACTCGTGATCTTTCTTCGGATTGAATTGATACAACGGGAATCTCTTTTACCGCGAAGGGAAGAATTTCGTAAATCCGTCACGTCACCCCAACCATCCACGAAGATCCTGACGGGGGGTTAACGGCGTTTGACGGGGGCTTTTATGCAAATGCACCGGGCCTCCATCAGCCGCGGTCGTTCGGAATCGCGTTCTTCGTTAAAGGATCTCCTATCTCTCCCCTCTCAAAGCTGTGTCGTTGGAATCTCGCTGACTCGGCAAATCACTCATACTGCTCGAAAGCTTCAGAACGAGGAATTCTCCAACGTGTCACGATCGCTCGATTAAAAAAACTTACGCAGATGCAAACCGAACGTATCGAGATTAATTGAAGTCGCTGTAATATCTCTCTGTTTCACTCCGACAACGTTCGACGATTGAGAAATCTTGAAACTCGAGAGTCGAACGATTCGAGGATCGTTGAATTTTGTACGGTGTCGCGCAGTGAAGTTTTCGCAGCGGCAGGAAAGGGACGGGACGAAGGAGAACGAAATAAAACGGGAGAAAGAAAACGAAAGAAAAAAAAAAAAAAAAAAAAAAAAGAAAAAGAAAAAAAAAAAAACCAGGCGAAAAAAGGGAAAAAAAAAAAAAAAAAAAAAAAAAAAAAAAAAAGAAAATAGGTGGAGAGAAAAAAACCACGCGATGAATGTTTTACTGGATTCCTTTCTTCCTGGATCCAAAGTTGCGGTATTTCCCCATTCAACGGGAAATTCAGCTAGATATTTGTCACGAACAACGAGCGGACGATGAATGCGCGAAAACCGATTACTAGAGATAGAGGAACAGTTGCCGCTCTGGGCAACGCTGGGAAATACGGCCGCGCAACTCCCGCGCTGTACACAAATTATTTTTCTTTCATACGGCTACACAATTCCGTTTTGTAGAGCGGCCGACCGGTGCACTTTAATTTCTCCAGAGATTTATGCAAGCCCGGGCCGCTTTGAGCCTCCGCGCGCCACGCGTAATAACGGGAACGATGCGTGTACGAGCTGCAACATCGGTTACACGTTTCCCCGTCGTCCTTTCACCCGAGACCAAAACGTCAACGATCTTAATGTCTCCGCGAGCAAGATTTACGCGAACAGGCTCCCACGTTTCCGCTCTTTTTCTCTCCCGTCTCGACGTCCTGTCCTCTCCTTCTGGCTCGATTATTTTTTCAAAGAATTTTCTTTTTCAGGAGGGTGAGAACGTGGTTTTCGTCCACGCGGTGAATGTTAATTATCGCGTTGCTGACGAAAATGATCGAAACGATTCGACGAGTTCTTCGAACGTAGTTCCTCTATGACCTTTGGGATTTTTTCATTTTTTTTTTCTGGAAACCTTCCTTGCAGACACATTTCTCGAATTGATTATTCGAATATTGGAATATTTGTTATTTCTTTTTCAAATGACTATCAGTCAATCGGTCGGTCGATCAAATTAGCTGATTATTGGCTGATACAACTTTGATTCATCATTCTATTTAATCAATGTTAAAAATCATTCCATTTAATCAATGATTAAAGGAATCATTCTATTTAATCAATGTTAAATATCTTCGTGGCAATTAGAACGCTTGCGCAATAATTTACTAATTATCAACGAAATTTGTCAAGTTGCAAGCTGTGGATTATTCGTGTCGTTTTTGTAATTCTGCACGCTGACAAAGAGGAACATTTACTCGAACTTGTTCCGTGGCTGCTTCATTTTCAATATTCACGCGTTTCGATTTGAAGGGATTGGAAGATACTGTGAAACGACGCGAAATGTATGTACCATGCAGTTGTTACAAGATTTTGAAGCCAGATATTCGTCTATCACGAACGAAAATTTAATCAAAAAACACTTCATAAAGATAAGATTCGAGCTACGTAGCGATCCTACACGAGATCAACAATTCTGCGCGATTCTTCCATAATTCTTACCGACAGATAAATAATATAAAGATCGATTTACATCGGTCTCTCGGGTTTGCCTTTTTCCATTCCTAATGAAACAACGAGAGAACGCAAAGCGCTAACAGGGCAACGTACCAAAAATCTCCAAGTCACGTTCACGCAGCACGCGTCCCATAATTTAATGCTTAGTTAAGGGACGCGGACTTAAATTAGTTAACCGCTGAAAAGATCAGCGGAACGCGACCGATCGTCTCGCTGTTTGTCGAGGAGGACGTCGTGAATACAAATTCTAAGCAGCGGCGTAACCGTGGAATTTCAAGGAGCGTCTCGTAAACGAAAGTTCGTCGAACGAGTTAACGAAACACGTTCACGCTGATCGATTTTCGAACTTGGGATGTTTTTAGGTACGTTCGTTCTCGTTTCGACAAACAAAATTTGATTCTTGAAAAAAATTTCATTTAAATATACCGTATCGGAGCTATAAAGAGTTTCTGTTTCCTGCAAGTGAGAAGATTCTTCTGGAGAAATCTAAGACAAATTATCCCGGAATTTATATGCAATTATGCAGTTTAAATTTAAATTTTTAAGTATTGAGTAAATAGAAGTTTCATAACAAGCGAACTATTCTTTCGTTTCTTTTATTACGAGTATTTGATTCAATTCCAGTTTTTAGCTTTTTCTACGGAAGTCGATTATCGCGAGAAGTAGCGAATCAGGATAAACGAAATGTGCATCGTTTTATTGCTGCCGTATCGGTAAATCAATATTTTATCAAGCTTCTATTTACAATTGCATGTTGAACCTCAGAAATTTCGAAATATTTCCTTCAACTCAGATACGTTTCTCGTAATATCAAATATTGTTTTGCAGTTTGTATTATTTCTTTCTTCTTCTTTTTCGATACCACGATAAGCAACACGCGCGACTTGGCTATCTTTCGACGTCATAAAAGATTATAAATTATTTCATTTATTGCAACATGCAGCGATTCGTTATCAGCTGTAATTAGACATTCCAGTGAGTTCATGATTCTCCGTATTTGTCCTCGCAGATAAGAATCGTGATACCGTGTACAAATTCAACTGTCTTTCTATTGCAAATTATTTCAGCGACAGTAATTAGACAAAGCTGAATCTCAATTAAATATATCATAAAAAAAAAATAGACGTGTAAGTACAGACAAATTCGTGTTTTTAATTTTAGGGTACTTTAGACGAAATAAAAAAAAAAGAAGTGCAGCGAAGGAGGATAAAATTTTCTATTCCATTTCTATGAAAATTTTTCTTTTTTTCTCAAAAAAAAAAAAAAAAAAAAGAAAGAAAAATAATATATTAGCTATATTGCTATCTTTCACGCATCTTGCATGAAAGCAGCATCACAGAATACAACGGAAGAAGAAAAAACACTCTTTTACGTATTACGTATTAGTCATACTCGCGCGAAATGTGCGATGAAAAAATGAAAGGCAAACATCGTTACGTAAGTTATTGTTACCATTGAGAGATAGCTATTTTCGAGTTGATATAATCATTCGATCTACAAGAAACTGTCTCCGGCTGTTGATAACGAAAAGCTATATATGGTATCACAGCTAATTGCAAGGTAGATTTGAGAAGTTGTTCCAATCGGGCACCATCCAGGACGTTCAATATGCGTGGCTACGTTCTTCTGTTGGTCTGTCTGTCGCTGATTGCCTCCTCATGGGGTCGTAACTTGATTCTTGGCAAACGTTCACCTAACGACGTGCTCATAGACGATCGACTCGTCTTCAAGGTGAGTAGCCAACGATCGTGGCATTGTTACCATCAATTCCCATTGAATAGATATCGTTCGATTGTATTTTCACTAGTTAAGTGAATTCAAATCGAGATGAGAGCTTCGAAATCAAAACGCTTCTGGTTTTTTAACCAACGTTGCACTGGCTCGCTTGATTTGCAACATTTCTCAATCAGTTTACATCTGCAAGACTCTGTCTTTCAATACTCGAGTCCAAGAAATTCGATTGACATTTGCTCATTGTGCTTCAATTTGAATTCTATGATTTTAAGAAATTTCAAGAAACTGTATTGACAATATACATATTCTCATTCGCAGCCGCCAGTGCCAGGTGTCAAACAGATAATGACCATTAACGCAACTGCACCAGCCGGTTATGAAATCTCCTCCATCAGGGCAATTAGTCTGAATTCGAAAGCAATAAACGTCAAACTTGTGAGAGGTTACCTCGGGCAACAATCCGTCGTCCTACTGGCTGTTGCTAAGCCAGGTTGGATTCTTCTGGCGAGAGTCTACGTATACGCTGTTCCTAGAGATGCCGAAACTACTGTCGAATCACCTACTTCTACTGAACCAGTGGTAACTACTCCCAGCGAACCAGCATCTACTCCCAGCGAACCAGCATCTACTCCAAGCGAACCAGCATCTACTCCCAGTGAACCAGCATCTACTCCCAGTGAACCAGCATCTACTCCAAGTGAACCAGCATCTACTCCAAGCGAACCAGCATCTACTCCGAGCGAACCAGCATCTACTCCCAGCGAACCAGCATCTACTCCAAGCGAACCAGCATCTACCCCCAGTGAACCAGCATCTACTCCCAGTGAACCAGCATCTACTCCCAGCGAACCAGCATCTACTCCAAGCGAACCAGCATCTACTCCCAGTGAACCAGCATCTACTCCCAGCGAACCAGCATCTACTCCAAGCGAACCAGCATCTACTACAAGCGAACCAGCATCTACTCCCAGTGAACCAGCATCTACTCCCAGCGAACCAGCATCTACTCCCAGTGAACCAGCATCCACTCCGAGTGAACCAACATCTACTCCCAGCGAACCAGCATCTACTTCCAGCGAACCAGCATCTACTCCCAGCGAACCAGCATCTACTCCCAGTGAACCAGCATCTACTCCCAGTGAACCAGCATCCACTCCGAGTGAACCAACATCTACTCCAAGCGAACCAGCATCTACTCCAAGCGAACCAGCATCTACTCCCAGCGAACCAGCATCTACTCCCAGCGAACCAGCATCTACTCCAAGCGAACCAGCATCTACTTCCAGCGAACCAGCATCTACTCCGAGTGAACCAACATCTACTCCCAGTGAACCAGCATCCACTCCGAGTGAACCAACATCTACTTCCAGCGAACCAGCATCTACTCCCAGCGAACCAGCATCTACTCCAAGCGAACCAGCATCTACTCCCAGCGAACCAGCATCTACTCCCAGTGAACCAGCATCTACTCCCAGCGAACCAGCATCTACTCCCAGCGAACCAGCATCTACTCCCAGTGAACCAGCATCCACTCCGAGTGAACCAACATCTACTCCAAGCGAACCAGCATCTACTCCCAGTGAACCAGCATCTACTTCCAGTGAACCAGCATCCACTCCGAGTGAACCAACATCTACTCCAAGCGAACCAGCATCTACTCCAAGCGAACCAGCATCAACTGCCAGTGAACCAGCATCTACTCCAAGCGAACCAGCATCAACTGCCAGTGAACCAGTATCTACTCCCAGTGAACCAGCATCTACTCCCAGCGAACCAGCATCTACTCCTAGCGAACCAGCATCTACTCCCAGTGAACCAGCATCTACTCCCAGTGAACCAGCATCGACTCCCAGTGAACCAGCATCTACTCCCAGCAAACCAGCATCGACTGCCAGCGAACCAGCATCTACTTCCAGTGAACCAACAAGTAGCACCGTAGCAACAACTAGCGAAGAAAACACCTGGCCACCAGTGTGGACTGAGACAGATGAAATTGAGCAACCGTCAACCCCGATCGTTCCAGCATGGTGGAAATGGTCCTAAGTTGGATTCTAACACGATAATGAGAGTTAACAATTAGTTTATTACGTTTCTACATATCTACGTCCGGGGTAGTGTGAATCGTCTGCGACGATTCACGAGCAGTCGATTGAAAATCATATTTTGTTTAGCCTCTGGACGTCAAATACGTTAATATCTCATGAAAAAAAATATGTATAGTGTGATCATCTTTTTATCAACGATCTAGCAGCTGTGTCACAACACATCAAGTTTGAACGCCGTGATATACCTTACAAGCCGTACAATTATTTAATCCATTCTATCAATCGACATTCCTTAAATAAATTATAATTATTCCATCAATCTATCGTAGTATTTTACACCAAACTTCATTATTACAGTTACTAGAAAGCAACCTCTCATTGGACAACATTTGGTCTCTGATGCTGACGTGAAATTCGTTGAGACGGTAAGAGATCGACCCTTCTCTCGAATTTTATTCTTCGACCAATCCTATCTTCTTAATACTTTCACGATAAAGTGCATTTTCTGCGACACATTCGTTGAAACATTTGTAGAGTTTTCTCAATCTCGAGCAATTGCCACGCAGTTAGGAAGACAGCTGTTTAGTTGTCCTTTCGCCTCAACGTTCCGCCGTTCCTCCGGTGGAATAAATTAAAATTCCCACGGGCGAGCTGGTAAACGGGAGAGCAACGTCGGCCCTTTTCCCGTGCGTCGTCGTCATCGTTTACGTTATTTCCTCGGCTACCATTGATTCCGTGACGGGAGGGATGTAATTCGGCGTCGCTTGGAAATTCGAAGCACAGACGATTCGTTCGCTAACGCATTTCCAGGAAATGCTCGCTTCTAGAGACCCTGGCCCCGGATGCTTTAAGGCTGCATCGCACGTAAGCCACTGCTGTGTTACTTGATTCGCTTCATCATCCGGTGTAGCTTGCTTAGTCGTTTTCCTATTTCTTTCCATCGTGTCTCTGTCTTGTACAAGGTCCGCGTTCACGTGAAGCGTTCTCGCAACGTGGATTTCAAGAACGCGGCCACGTTCGTGAAAATTGTATCCACTTCAATTTGGTAAAATCGGATTTGTATGGACGGTTGCGAGAGGTGGAAAGCTGACCGGCCCGTCTGGAATTTTCATGACGTTTACGGCCGCGATCAATCGGCCGCCTAATCGGTTCTTTTGAAACATTAATTCGCCCGCGATATCGGCTCGTCTTTTTTTGTTAAATATTTCAGCAGGAGTCATGGCCTTCTCCCAACCATCCTCGATAAATATCGCCATCCATCGAACTCTCCACCGGCGTAAAGTGTTCGTTCGATTTTGATTGGAGAGAAACGATTCGGAATCAATGATTCACCAGCTCCGGCAAAAGTGTTTCTATATTTTTGAGGGTTCGGTGTAAGGGAGAGATTGAATTTTACGGCTCGAATCGGGATCGAAGGCGAAACTTTTAATCCACAATAGGTTTGTTACCATTACGAATGTTACGACGCTGTTTGTACGAAGTTTAAGTAGCAAATAGTAATTAACGGACTGTGGGTGTCCATACGAATTCACTCGTACTTCCATGAATTTTATACTTTCGCAACCAAAAATTTTTCACGCGTAAAAATCTACGTATGCGCAAAGATAAATCTAGTAAATTAATCTTCAATACATCAAAGACTGAACGAAAATTGTAGACTTTGTCAGCGTTTTTAAAATTATGCTGAACATTATGAAATATCGAAGAAGAAAGAAACGAAATTAATAAAAAGAAAAAAAAATAGACCGCTCGATCCACTCGCGCGTATGTGGGACCGCGCGTGTATGTCGCGGAATATTGCGGAACGAGAAGCAGATGGCTGTAGGCAGATTAGAAAGACACGCCGGAGAAAATAATTACAACCAGAGTGCTGACGCGCCGCGAGTACCGAAACTCCGGCGACTATTTTTCAAGCGTTCAACGTTAATCCCGGGGCCGTTTCCCTGGGTCGAAACTTCGGCGCGCCGCCGCCGCGGTTCTCCCGCCTATGGAGAGGCAGAACAGGAAGCAGCCGGAAAAACAGGATCGCGGGGGATTACAGGGTGGTTATTACGTCGCGCGAGCCGGCAGCTTCATATAACTCAGCGGGGGAGAGAACCTCCACTCGTAAACTTTCATTTCCGAGCGGCCAAGGACGGCGAGATTAAAGGGCCCCGGCCCGCGAATTTCACTCGGCCCGGGTCCCGCGTCCAACATCCGGTTTTCTCCGGTTACCAACCGGGATCCGGAATCCGATCGATTCTCCCCCCCCCCCCTTCGCCCTTCCTCTTCGTTGTTCGTTCGACGATGAAAAATCGTCGTGAGAGAGGAACGAACAAGGAGTGGAAAAGAGAAGAGAAGAGAAAGAGAGACAGAGAGAGAGAGAGAGACAGAGAGAGAGAGATAGAGAGAGAGAGAGAGAGGAAGAAAAAGGGAATCGCGATGGCGAAGGGCATCGCGACGCCGCAACGGCACAGCAACAAGTGAGAGTCGAAGAGTTATTGGACCCAAAAGCCTGTAATAATGGCCGGCGCGGAGTCGAGCGGAATCGAACGCTCTCCTCCGGTTTTATTCCGGCGCATCCACGATCGGAGAAAGTCAATACAAAGGAGGAACCGATCGACTGGAAAATCGCTGCATCGCGATTACTCTTCGTTTCTTTTCGTTTCTCCTCTCCGCCCCCCCCCCTCTCCCCCCACTCCTTCGCGTCTCTTGTCTATTTTTCTAGATCAGCCCGCGGACGATTAAACGGCTCTCGGGGACGAATTTATGAAAGTTCAATTCGTGGAAACGGATCGTTTGCGTTTCAGGGTGTTGAACACCGATTAATTTCGAAGAATATACGACGGAGAATGTAGGGCCTATCTATCGACAGAAAATTGTTCCACGTAGCTGCGTGGATTTCTTGTAATTTCTGCACATTTGTTTCGGTGCAATCCGTTTCTAGTTTCTACGATTTCAATTATTTCATTTCTGCTAATAAAAGATCCATAGTCTACTATACGCTTTCGTTCGTGAATTGCAAACCTCACGAAGAACAAGAGGCTGTGTATTTTTTTCAAGAAGCTGTAAACTGTCGTGTCACTGTCGAAAGTGTAATCATGTGATCCAACGACTTCTGTCAGTTATCAATGCCACTAAATGTTCGCTATGATTACGGACTTGATAACGAATTTTTCGCAACTCATTGGCGCGATTTCATCGCTTCGTCGATCATCGAGTCAGATTTTACTTTGATTTTGACACGAGATTGATCGTAACGGAGCATCGATGCTCTATTACACTTCTAGATTTCTCGCTTTGCGTTACCTCGCTGCGTGATATCGATTTGAAATCAGACTTTTGCTTTTCGATTACGAAATTACACATCGTCGTACACGATAGCTTAATCGTCGAAGTATCTTCTGGTTGCTTGTAGACAGCTACGAAATCACCCGGTCTAATCATAAGATTGGAAAAGTAAAAAGTTCCATCGATGAGAATATTACTTTTATCTTATCTCCAATTTCTTTATTCCTCGCTGAGAAAAAAATTCTCGCTTTCTCAATCAGTTCGTCGTATCAATCGTATCTCTTTTTCCTCGACGTTTCCGAAAAATGTCGACGTTCCGCAGAAATCGCGATACAGCAAGATACAGACACGTGAAAGACACAGGCAGTGTAATTTCAGCGACGTGCACGCGGTAAAAATTAGACAGGTGGAACGACCGTGACTCGCGGTACCCCTTACAAGTCGGCAACCTTGAGCGATCAAAGTCTCAACATCTGTCACTGTGCTCTTTTCTCTTCCCGTTCGGTGTCGAACGTACAATTCGACTCGTACAACCGTCATATTTGTGACGCGTTAAAATGCCCGGCACGGAACTTTTATCGACGTCGACACACCCCGAGTTATTTCCTTCGCGGATGCCTCGTATCGGTGGTTCGTCGCTGGCATGCAAAGCAGCCCACGATTCGTTTCCTTCGCGCCCCATGTAGCTTGTAATTTCACCGTAGAACAGGAAATCCTCGTGTTCTTAGACGCATCGTTTCTTTCCCTAATTCATAATTCCCCAGTGGGACTGGCAGAGTTCTCGGAATTTTTCACACTAATCTACCAAAGACCGGGCAGTTTCATTTATCACTCAATTTCGAAAGGAATCGAAATCTTCAATTCATCTTTCGGAGAATTATAGAACTTGTATCGATGAGAAGTCTTGAAGAAATCTTTGGAGTTTTGTAGAGAAATTTTTGGGATTTCTATACTCGTAATACTCGAAACTTTTCGAAATTTTTAGAAAACTGTAGGTTTCAAACGATTAAAAATATAAAGCGAACGTTCGAAATATTTTTCAATTTCTTTCTTCTTCTTCTTCTTCTTCTTCTATTTTTCTTTAATGTCGCATCGACAGCGAGGTCATTAGCGACGACGGTGCCATTAGATATGNTACTCTTTGTATGTCATTTTGAGAAGTCAGGTTTATGTTTGCGTTGATTCCGTATTTCTGTCTTTGGATTTCTGTGGTGTGACATTCGTGCAGTATGTGGGTTATTGTTAGTGGATGGTTATTGCAATGAGTGCAGGTGGTGTAGTTTTTTTGAGTTTGTGTTCATGTGTCAGCTTGGTATGACTGGTTCTTAGGCGTTCTTAGCCTTACCAACAGAAAAGAAGGAATAATTATCTTAATTTCTTTCATTTTCAAGTTTCTTAAAATTTTCGAAATTCTCTTTTTACTTTCATTATTTTTTAATCATATCAACTACTTGTGTGGATTATTAGCGACTCGGAGCCAAATCTTACAATTTATTATAAGAAAATGTATTAATTTTAGAACTGCTTCTTTATCCTTCAGATTGTCAGTGTGAGAAGGATTTATGTTTATTCGTGGTGTATTTTCTGCGCTGGACAATAATAAAATTCAATTTGAACTTCGAACAACAAAATCGCAAGTCGGAGGAGGATCGAAAAATTTGTTATCTGAAGTTTTCTATTTTCGATCTCCGTTATTGCTGATTTCAGTGGCAAAGAACGGCGCTTCGCTCTCGGGTATGTTGTCCCGCTCTGATTTTTCTATTTTCTTTCGCCCTCCCCCTCTTCCTCGTTTCGAGGAGTCGGATCTATGGATCTGGTCGGTGAATCGAAAATTCATTTGCCAAACGTTCTCGTGGACGGAGCGCGAGACACACCGAGTCGGCGTGTTTATTTTAATTTCCGGGAAATCGTGCGAGCTTTTCCGTTCCACGGCCCTATCGGATCGTTTAATTAAACGAGCCGTAGATAATGCCGTTATCGGGACGGATTTCAGGCAATCGCGCGACGCTTCGACGCGCGAATTTCTCTTCTGTACGCGTTTATTTTCCT